AAGGACAGGAAGGCCTGGCGCGATATGGTTCATGGGGTCATGAAGAGTTGGACACGACTTAACGACTGAACAACAATAATAATAGCCTTGCTGACTATATTATGCTGTTTTTGTGATTGTGTGGGCTTTTAGTTTATTATTTTATATTAAATACTTTAATATAATAAAATATATTAAAGTATTTAATATATATAATAGTTTGTATCTACTTTTTAAATGTTTTATTCTTTCTTATGAACTGCCTAAGAAATATGATGAAAGTAGCATGTACAAAATACCTTTAATAAATAGAGAAACAAACCTGCATACTTTTAATTTGCATTTTGGCAAGCATAGGAAAAAGGGAAGTAGGAGATAAGGATCTGACCTACATTATGGAGAAAAATACCACCATTGCAGGTGCCATTCTCACAACAATGGAATCAGCATGGCTTCAGTCAGCTTGGGTCACACTGTACAATTAACCTATTCCCAGGTGGGGCTTAAAGGATTGGGAAGTCACTCATTTCCTCAGACTAAATGAAAATGCAATCATATGCAATCCTTTTGTCAGGCCTAAGCGTCAATGCCTATGAATTGCTGGGGGGAAAAAATCTAATCTAAACCCTGATGAATCTTAGTTGAACAGAACTAGGAGACTAACGCTTCTCTGGTCTAGTGTAGAAATTGGCATGAATGACAGGTATAGACGAAGAAGTTCTCAGAGCGAGTTCAACTGAACACGCACAAGAATTCATTTTCATTTTCCTTTTATACCATGCCATGCCAGTGGAAACTCTAAAGTGATCATACTTCTCTGCATGAATGCAGGGTTAAATAGTAGAGTTTCTTTTGAATAGTTCAAGGCCTTGTGAATGATACACTATCCAAATGATGTGGGTGACATACTGTACTTGCAAGGCACATAGGCAGTAAAACACAGCTCATATTCACTTTGATTTATATTCTATGTTATTGGTTTCTTTTGTTTTAGTTGATAGATTTTATATCAATGTAGTGAATTTTGAATTTCACAGTAGTATTATTGTAACCTGTTTTAGGAGCATCTTGTTTGAAAAGATGAGTTAAAAATGGATAGTCTTAGTAAAGGAACCAAATAAATTGTGGGACATCTACAACCACTAATAAGACTTTTCTTGCTCTGAAAGCCTACCTACTTTTTAAAATAAACACTGCAGTGTGTTTTCACTAATATTTCTTAAGTGAAATGCACCTTATGTATTTTAGTTACCTCGTTCTTCTTTTACTGCAGAAGGTATAGGTCTCTGATTACTACTTTTAGAAATGCTTAGAAGAAGCAGAGTGCTATTTCAAGTTTCAGTTGTTCTCATGGGGAGAGAGGGAGATGACAGTAACACAGGACAAGAGTCTATGCAAAGATTACCAACCTACTCTTGGATATATTCAGGATTATACTGGAAGGAAGGAAGAAAGGAAGAAAAGAACATTTCTTGTGGTTATGTTCTTACATCCCATTATACTTAGTGATACAAGAGACAGGAAGTTTCAGCAGAAGGAGCAAGCACTTCCCTTGAATGCTGGCTCTGATTTAAAAGTTATCTTTGATGGCAAAAATAAGTATTATTTTAATACTTGTTTTCCAAACTTTTTGAAGTAGCCTCTATTAAATCTTCAGTGTAGGCTGCTGAACATTTGATCCCCCCCCCCCAAATTAACAAGAAATAGGTACATAAAAATGTGGATCATAGATGCTTAAAGAAAGGCTGGAGAAAGGTGAATGTTTTCTGATATGTGATCTTCTAAGTTGTTATCAATTTCTTTAACTTTTTCTATCAGAATCAGATTAAAAATGTTGCTTGAGAAAAAACAATTAAATTTGCTCAAGGTTTTCATTTCTCTTTTGTGGCAGTCAGCATCATTTTGAAAGGTCACAACACAAATTAGTTCCAGGGGCAGCTTTTGAAATCAGTGTACAACATTAAAACACTGTGCTTTGTTCCATCCGTTGCATTCTGTGCTAATTACTTTAACACAAAACCAGTTGCTTCATCTTTGGAATGGGCACCCCACAAATCCTGATGCATTATATAGGTTATATTGATTTTTTAAAAAACACAACTATTTTAAAGTGATAAAGGAACTTGTGGTTAGCAACTGTTGCTGTTTTAGTTGGCCTAAATGTTTCAGCCACACCATAATATTGTAATTTATGAGTATGCTTATAGTATAAGAAAAGAAAGAAAACGGCCAACTGCAATGCACAGTAGTGAGAAAAGGATGGGAGAAACAGCACCCAGTGCCCACAAACCATTACCACTGCAGATCACCAGATGAGAAAAGACAAGGCAGGGCTCCCCCCCAAATTCTCTTAATCTAACCTTGGGATGTGCCCTGATGAACACAGATCCTGACATTTGGACCCAAAACCCTTAAGCAGAAATAGTTTTGAAAAGAAATTCCCAGCCCATTCAGAATAGATATACTAGCTTCAGATATTGCAACCAGGCCTGGCCCCCAATTTGACAATGTACCTTTTTTACTTGGCTCTGCAGAATGAACTGTTGAATCCAAGGGTCATGGAAGTTCTGCAGAGTATTCTTAGAGAATTTATATTTTCAAAACTCACCACCTTGAAGGAGCAAATAGCTGCATCAAGAAAGTCTGCCCTCTTCATTGGACAAAGTGGTATTGCTTTAGTCTGAGCCTTTTTCAGCAAGTGTCAAGGCAACATCCCCTGCTCATAACTGCACAATCGTGTCCATGGTCCTGCTTCTGAACTCTGATTTGCCATATTCATTCCTGTCCTGGATCCTAGAAGTTAGATCCTTTATTACTAGGCCTATGTCTGACCATCTTGCCTGTGCTATAGGCTTCTTGCAGTTATGTATTTGCAGTACTGGCTCTCACTAGGAATCAGGATAGGTTAGGCCACTGCAAAGTAGTGCCCCAGTCAAGGAGCTTCGATTGATATGAAAAAAAGAAAATTCACTGTCCGTGTGTATACATACATACCTGCATCCATGCATAATATCTCTTTAGGTTAGGAAATTGTTCCCAATATAACCACATAACTCATTACATATAAAGAAAGTTGTCCATGATCAACTGCAGCTTCAGCTACCTCCATACTTCTGACAGCTTTGCAAAGAAGCTAACCAACTGCCTTATTGAAATTCCCAAGATAACTGTATGCTCAGTTCTTCTCCTGGAATAAACAATTCCAACAATCTCATATCCTTGGGCTGTCAGTGGGAAATATTTTTGAACTTCTTTTTAAGTTCACGAAAAAAAGTACCGTGCACTTCAGTAAGCATTTAGAGATGGATTTAGGGACATTTAAAAAAAAACAAAAACAGATTGCATTGTGTTTGAATTGAAAACATGAAGGACTATTTCTAATATCAATTTCAACTCATTGTGTCTTAAAAGGGTGGGTATGCATACCCAGCATGCTATTCTGATTTGGGATAGCAATGTTATGCAAAATACAGAAAAAGAAGAGAATTAGTAGGCAGAAGAGATTAAAGGTGAAAAATAAAGGCAGGACATAAGATAAAAGAAAGGGAACTACCTACTCTAGTTTCACAAGATGGGCCTATGGATATTAACCTCCACCACCCATCATGCTTTTGGTGAGCTGAAACTTTCACATAACACTTTTTAATAAGGTACAGAGCCTTAGTCATACCTGTTCCCTATCCTTCCTCCTTTCCTTTCCTTTCCTTTCCTTTCCTTTCCTTTCCTTTCCTTTCCTTTCCTTTCCTTTCCTTTCCTTTCCTTTCC